TGGACTCAGGGCTTAGCGACCCGCTGGACTCAGGGCTTAGCGACCCGCTGGACTCAGGGCTTAGCGACCCGCTGGACTCAGGGCTTAGCGACCTGATGGACTCAGGGCTTAGCGACCCCGTGGACTCAGGGCTTAGCGACCCCGTGGACTCAGGGCTTAGCGACCCGCTGGGCTCAGGGCTTAGCGACCCGCTGGACTCAGGGCTTAGCGACCCGCTGGACTCAGGGCTTAGCGACCCGATGGACTCAGGGCTTAGCGGCTCGATGGACTCCGGGCTTAGCGGCCCGATGGACTAGGCTTAGCGGCTCGATGGACTCAGGGCTTAGCGGCCCGATGGACTCAGGGCTTAGCGACCCGATGGACTTTGGGCTTAGCGACACGATGGACTTTGTGCTTAGCGACACGCTGGACGCAGGGCTTAGCGACACGCTGGACGCAGGGCTTAGCGACCCGCTGGTCACAGGGCTTAGCGACGCGCTGGACGCAGGGCTTAATGACGCTTTCCATTTCACTATATGGCACACCACACTTCTTTTTTTTTTTGCTTCCACCGCTGCAAGCTTGACTGATGTGAGTGGCTCAGTGTTCTCTGTACATCACCGTGGTATATGTCAGAGCTATATAAGTGTATAATAATAGTGCGTGACTGTGGGGGAACATTAGAGTGTACGCTCCTCTGTACAGAGACTGATGTGACTGGCTCAGTGTTCTCAGTACAGCACTGTGGTATATGTCAAATTTATCTAAATGTATAATAATAGTGTGTGAATGGCTCAGTGTGTCGGCAGTGCATGGGGGGGCGGCCTAAAGCCAAGTAAGAGACCGCAACATTTCTGATGGCTGCCCTGGTCATGTCATGCCGGCAATTCTTTTTATGTCAGTGAATACTTTAAACATTCAAAGTATTGCTGAAATCTTAAATTACTTTTTATTTTTATTTGAAATACTTACATAGTAAAACCCATCTTCATCAATCTCACCAAAAACAGTAATGATATCTCCTGTGCAAATGGTTAACTCAGCCTGCAGAGAGATTAAAATTAAATGTGTTACTTGGTAGTCAAAGTATTTTGGAACAAGAATACTGCCTACTTTTGCAGGTTACATCATTAAAGTGACATTAAATTGTAGTCAAATCTTAAAAATTAATTCAAGTACCTTAACTATTAACAATCCTCTATCTTATTGTGTATCACTCCAATCTCACTCCCATGATGAACTACAATCTCATGTTTAGTTTACTCATTTGTATTGAAATTGTAGTCCATCACAGGAGTGAGCTTGTACTGTTGGCTACTTTACAACACACACGGAAACCATGGGGAACAAAAGTAGAAGGAAGGTGTGTCAGCACCGATACAGAGATGATTTGAGAATCTACAGCCGAGTGATACACAGATAAGGTCAATTTTTTGGTAATTGTTAAGTTACTTAAATGCATTTTTAAGATTTTCCTCCTGAGTTTAGTGCCACTTTAAAGCAAGTTGATGGCTGACACATTTCTGTTGAGGTTTAGGGATATTCCACCATGAAATACAAATAAGTGTAAATGAAATTGCATTTTACTTATGTAAGGAACTATTTGCCAGTTAATGCATCCTATATTTTCTGGTGACCACAAATGGGTTGTTTTTTCATTATTATTTTTTTGGATAGCATGACATTTCTATGCGCCATTAATATACTATAATTAAAAGAAATGTAGATACCTACTGTGTATTATTTTACAAATATATTTTCTTAATACTAAACATTTCTCTCATTTTTCGATGTTGGATTTGGAATTACAGCTCCATCTGGTGAATAGATGAAGTGAACACTTTACCTCAACATCAACATTAGGTGAGCTTTCCCTTGGGTCGTAGTCATACAACGCCACCATTCTCCTCGTGGACACTGAGTGCTGCCTCCCACTTCTCCTGTTTCGCTCTGTGTCAATCACAGAACAGTTTATATTCTTCATTTGAAATTCATATCTCCCATCAACAATCATATCTCATGATAAAACCAACAAGCTGGACAAGAGACCAACGGAGTGGACATAGAAGCTGAAATGGACAGTGATGACAGTTTCCTGCGACATATCACCTCTACACCTTAACTTATAAAGTATCTCTTCATTAGATGATCCTTTGAGCATGACTCAAACAATGGCCACTGTTTATGTATCAGCACAAATTTACAAGATTTTGTTCTCCAAGTTGCATCATATTCAAAATATTATATTTAGAACTATTCAATTGTATGAGCAGGTTTTATATCGGTCTCTGACCACTGTACGATTGTGCTTCATTAAGCTTTACCCCAATGTTCAGGGAAATCAGTGTGGACCATTACATTTTCCTTTTGCCACAAAACTATTAATTAGCAGGCTGTTAATCCCTAAACAGCATAATACATAAATATCTACCTTTTATGCTTCCCATTCAAAAAAATGAATTGGTTACATTGCATGCTCCATGAAAAATCACAGTGTTGCAAAAACTGTTACTGCTATATAAAATCTGTATCATAACTTCAAAAATTGCTGCTGTCAAAGTCAGTAGCCAGTAGTGGTGTGTGCCTAGTCTCTATCCACACCTGTATCATGTTTGCAGTCAGTGACCTTCTCTTCTAGCATGGCCACAATCTCTGACCATCTTGTGTAGTATGATCAGTCTTTGACTGTTTTCCGTATAATTACACACACTGAACACTATGTGCAGCCCTTTGATTATGTCAGGGGCCACATTTGAGGTCACCATAATAAGTAAGTTGACCACCATTGCCCTAAGTTATTAATGTGAGCAACAGTAATGATTCATTGTAAAAACTAGGCCAATTCAGACTTAGCTGTCACTTAGCACCTTATAACATCCCTGTTAGTGACACGAAAGTCTTCCACAATCCATCCTTCTTATAGGATCTGAAGTCTGGTTTTATGTAGTGTATTGAATGAGGGGGGCTAAGGGTACACATTTACTTATGGTAAACAAGACCCCACTAACTTTTAGTTGCAGCCTTAATAGGTATGTAAGTTAGAGCTTAACTTCATTGAAAATACCAAAAAACCCTCATAGTGAAAAAACACCATTGGGAAGGCCATCTGTCAAGTGCTAACCCCCTGATACTGTTTTCTCCCAAACTATGGTGTACTTTAGGCTCCCACTAATCACACAGATATTTAAAAATGTGTTATGTCCACAGTCAGTGGATGGGAAGAAAGTTTAATAGTTAAGATGACCCCTTGAAAAGTAACCTACATATAACTAAAAATATTAGTATATACCATATGATCAAAAGTAGTTCACCTGCCCCTTAGGCAATGGAAGATCATGTATAAGATCAAATTGTGGTTAGGAGATACCAGGTAGATAATGATGCAAGCTCAAAGGACAAAACATGCTTGTTAGTTTAACTTACAAAAACATAGTATGTTTTAGACAGGTCATATTAGCTTGTGTATTAACTGAATAAAGTTAGGGTTTGTTTAACACAGACCTCGTTTAGACTTTCTGGATCTGCGGTGTACAGAGCGAGAGCTCTCTTTGAAACGTTCACAGTTGACTTCAGGAAAGGAATGCATATAAATAAAAGAAGAGGAGAACATATGAAGCTGTTCAGAGTTCTGTCAACCTAGAAACGCTCAACTTGGAAAGTGAATGTAACTGACGTGTGTATTTGTTTCTCATTATTGAATTTATAAATGTTTGTAAATATCACTAGAACAAATGTACACTAGTAATAACCATCTGAGAAAATGTGCCTTACAATGTTTCACAAATTCTTATTTTAGTAAACTGTTTGGTTCAAACATCTCACTTTTTAACTTTAACTAATGTAATGTTTTTTTAAATTTGTGGCATCACAACTTTTCCCAGCTTCTTTGTGAAGAAAGTGTGTGTGGTAAGAAAATTGAGACTCTTGGTCAGCCTTACTCAGCCACAAGAGTTAAGTGAGCAGTTCAGCGATGCAAGTTAAAGCAGCTTTTATTGTTTGGAAGCATGTGAATGCACTCTATTGTCAAGAAAGGTGCTGTCCAGAAGGAGGCCACTGCCAACCCCAACCAATTTGTTTAATAACAAAATAGAGTGCCATTACAGCAGCAAGTGGAACAGGTCTTTGCCACCAGATATACCAGAATGATATATTTAACACCTAGCTATGATAAAGCTGTTACCACCTAAAGGTCTTTCTTGTCTCATGCATTAAGTGACATGGACATCAATCTTACTTAGTCTCGTGGATTTCAGCTTACCATCAGAAATCTTATAATAAGGATGGAACAACATCTTCATGTAGTATCTCATTTGTATCCGCTTTGCACGCTACTCCGGAACTCTAACTGAGCCAAGTGCTCAAGTACAGGTTTTTCCACAAATAACTGTGGACTGAAGGTAAGAGCACAACTTGTGTGCCACTAACAGTCCACCGCTTCACAAACAAATGTATTCTACTTTCAGGATAGAACATTTGAAAAGCCTATCATATAATCACAATATTGGTCTGTCCCAACTCCTGATTTACCCACGGTCCTCAGACCACTAAAATAACAAAACTATGGCAATTGAAAGAAGAAGAAAAAAGCCTACAGTCCCCTTTAACATTTATCAACATAAGGCTCTAACCAACCTCATTACAATATTATCTCATGGCTCTCATAGTGGGCTTCATGGCCCATCAGTGGTGACACTGGAGAATGTGTGATATGGGATCTTTGTTGTGAAAACATATTAACAATATAATTGAAGGAAAACAACAGAAGGTAAAGATGAAAGCTATCGCAGGGAACGTTTTACAAAAGAAAGTATTATGGAAATATGAAATACAATGCATACAGCCTCGTGGCCTTAGTTTATAGATTAATTTAACTATATAAATCATTTCTAGGTGCATATATTCATATTTTTGTGCTTTATTTGTGTAACCATATGAGGCATGTGTTATCATTATCAGTTGGTTTACAGTCATGTGACTATGTATTTAAAGTGTATGTATAGCCAAAACTTTTCTTTTCTTTTTAGATAGGGGTTCTAACCTTTATCTATTCTATCACATTAATATCTTCTTTTTGTATCCTGCCAAGGTAATTTTCCTTCACTTCCTGTCTTGAAGATGCAACAAGAAGTGAGAGGAAATCTCCCCAAAGTGACGACAATTTCTGTCTTAGTTGTCCCCAGAACAATAATCCTCACTGCAGGATTTTCCTTCGAATCTTGCTCTCATGACAACTCTATCATTTAGTTAGTATATACACTTATTTTTTGTCTCAGGGACAATGGTCACCAAGACAAGCAAAGGGGTAAATCTAACCAGCAGGGACACCACAATAAAAACGTAGCAAAGGGTCCTACCCTTACACTTTCTATCCACAACTAAAAATAAAGATTTGCTGTTACATATACTTTAACCTGATAAGTGCTTTGGTCCTCTCTTACTGCTAAATTCAAGTTGGGAAAGCCCAATGATGCTTAGTGATAAACTTTACTAAGCTAATTTGGAGTGAAGTGGTTTGCTAACAGGAGAGCTTTTGCTTGTGGTATACTGTTTTTGTACCTTGCTTTAATGTCTTAGGAAGATCTGTAATTAATCAAAGTGATGGAGCTTCTTACACAGATTGCATATCGGGCACAAACACAGACCAAATGTAAACTAGCTACTACATGAGGTGGTGTTGAAAGACTTTTGATGGTATCACAATCTAGGAGGCTAAGCATGGGCAGATCTGGGGGGGGGGATTGCCAATCCCCACTTTTCATCATATTTTATACGTTGTCATCAAACTTACTGGAAGTTAAGAAGAAACAAACTATAATCTAGTGTGAAGTGCTGCAAAATGAAAAGCAATTATTTGGCTGATCTTCATAAGAGATCATCTGTTAACTTAACAAAGAGAAGTAAACAAATCAAGTGGGAAAAAAGCACCTAGACAGCACAATCCTTATAAGTGCTCACTGGTCATTCCAAACGGGATACACATAATATGCAGGTACCAATAGCCAATGAAAGACTTGTATCCCAGGACAGTGCAGTAAAAGGCCAATAGCGGGTAAAGCAGGAGAAGGGTAATTAAGAAAGACTGTAGAAAGTAAGACTGTAAGAAAACTTTGTATTACCTACCAATTTTTTCCACAGGAGTATTCAGTGGCAGAAATCCTTGTTTAAGAAGCTGATCCATCATTTCCTCATCATCAGCTTGAATTTCAGAGACCATATTACAGGGGATATAGCCAGATCTCCCACAACTTTCGCCATGGTAAAAACCATCAGAGTCTTTATCACCATAAACCTGCAGATAAATTGGTTGGGTCAAGAGAGGAATATTACTTTCTAGCAGAAGGATTTTGAGATTTATTTATTTTCTTTCCCAAATCAGTGTATTTTTAAGATCCAGTATTTTTACAGTGCTGGTACTGTTATATTTTTGTGAAGACAGAATAACAAAAAAGGTTAACAGGATTGAAAATGGGAATCCAGGTTAGCAAAGTTTGATCTAAGCAAAATCAGGTAGTTATTGGGATTCACATGCAAGACTTCAAACACTTATCATTAAAAAAAAAAAATTGCATGCCCAGTTAGTTTAGGATATGGGATTCTTCTATAGTCTACTGACTATAGAACTAGCCGTGGGGCTAGTCATATATTATTCAATAGAAAGGATAACTAAACAGTAATATTTTGTTGTTATTGAGATAGCCAATTAAAAAAAATATAACCTTGATATTAACTTGCTGGATGTTTACATATTTTTAACTGAAATGAATCAAGACATTTGACAGTGCTGCACTCTAGTCAACTTAGATTCATAAACTTTGAACCGTAGATGTATTATTTGAACAGATATTTCCCTACTTTAGCCATAACCACTTGGAAATGACTGACCTACTCACACAACAATGAGAAACCTGCAGTCTCATAAAGGTTTCCTTGATCACTATGGAATCTCAGGATCTGGATGCAAACTAAGGACTGACATACAGTGGAAGAAGTCACCTTAATTATCTGGCCCTCCTTAAAGGGAAGTTCTTCTTCTGCAGCATCTGGATTCGGGGACATTGTTCTTGGGTCATAGTCAAAAAGTGCCACAAATATTCTTGCAGGATAATCCTCCATCCCACCATCTGTTTCTGATTCTTCATACATTTCAGACGAAATCTGCTCTCGGCTGCCATAACTATCTGAAGGAAAAGTCAAAATATACACAGCAGTCTTTGCATGCTCTACTGTAATAAACAACCTTTTAGACACTGAGACAGAGTACGCAAAACACAGTGTACATCACAGGACATTCGTCAAGAAAACAACGCTGATTTCCAATGAAAGCAAGTATTTTACCACAGCGCTGTGGTATGGTCAGCATCAGCGAACTACACATTGAATTACTTTTGCACAGTAAGCCTAGTTAATTATGCATTTAAATATAAAGCAGTATGTAAGGAGCACACAAAACCATTGTAGCAACAGCTGTATATCAGGCATCTTCACATACAAATGTTTGTTCTATATGGGAGGCCAATGGAAGAAAGTGCATGCAATGCAGGATATTACACAACAACAGATACAGCATGGCTGAATGGCAATGATGGACATGAAATTGGTGCAATCCTACCTTTCTTTCCCCTAAGCTGGGACACTCTAGATATGTAGGAATGGAGGGAAAGGTGCACTGTAAGCCCTGCACACATGCTGCACTGCATGCAAACGTAGTGGCTCATTGCACAGCACATTAAAGGCCAAAAAACAAAACAAAAACCTGCAAGCCTTCAATCCATTAGAAGGATCTCAGAGTTTTAGGCTTTTGTATTCTCTATTTCCATCATCTAAAACTGACCTATAAAACTTGCTGAGAGAATTAGAATTGATCAAGCAGAGCACCCTCAGAAAATAAGTGCGCATCCCATAAAGTATCTGACACCCAATAGACATAAAAATTTATGACCATTTTTTGGCTGAAAAGCAGGAAGAAGGTTTTATTTTGCATACCGTATCTATCGTCAGAAGCCCTGGTACGGTGGGGAGACCACCTCCTGTGTCCTCCAATGCTGCGATAATAAGCTTCTTCTTTTACAGGTGAAATATTTCCCTCACTACCTGACCGAGAACGGCCACCTTCACTGTTACTGTCCATTGTAATTTCTATGGAAAAAAAGGGAAGGAGCTATTAAACATGCTCTGTGTATTCGGAACAGAGGACCATGGAGACTGGTGCCCCTGATTTACAGGGCACCTCTCTCTATAACGCATAATTAATGTTCCGTAGAGCCACTGATTTCTTTTAAATAGACATCTAAGTCTAGTCACAGCTGCATACCAATATATCTAAATGCGTTTTCTTTTAGGTTTTGGGTTTTTCTAAGATTATTTTTTTTCTTGGAGCATCCTTAACCTCTTGCCGTCCGCCCGTAGTAGAAAAACGGACGGACGGCACTGCAGCATCTGCGGGTTGCCGTCTCCAGACGGCAATTTTTTTCTGCTCGCGCGCGCCCCCTAGCGGGCACGCACGGGCAGAAAAGACCCGATGGATGGGAAGGGGGTTTAACACCGCGGATGTCAACTGGTTAATTTGATAGATAAGCAAATCTAGAGCAAGGTATGCTTCAAAATTCCTATTTTTATAACAGTGTCTTTAGCTCTAGAAAGGTTTAGTGGTTATCTTCACTGGTGGAAACATTTTGACAAGGAATGTTACCACTGAGCATGTTACACTGAAGCAGGTATAACATTTTGGAATTTTCCCTTGTCACTGTTAAATAGACAGTGTTACTGACAAGTGACAATCTGCAATGCAGCACAAACATCACCTTCAGCTCTGTTTAAGGACTGTGTTTGCACTGGAATAACATACAAACATGGAACAATATGCTTGGGCTTTGACAAACTTCTGAAATGATCCAAGAGAATGGGAGATACAATTTTATGTGAAAATTGAACAGCAAATACTGTACATATTTTTGAACTAGCAAATGCTACGGTATGTATGCTTTTAAATTATCATGTCTTGGATTACTGTAGTAATGGAAATTAACAATGAATGAAAAAGATTCTTATGGTTTCTGGCTACAAATATTAATGCATGGTAAGTATCATATCTCTGGGTTACAGGATGGTTGTGTTAAAGCAGGGTGAGTGTAAGTTACATCAATATATATATAGATATATATATATATATATGTATACATACTTTTAAATAAGCCAAGTAGATCTCTCTGTTATTATAATATCTTAAGGTATCTGGATAGGAACTGTCTCTGACAGTACAGCTTCACAGCAACCTTTAAGAAGACTATCACTATGCACCTATTCAGAGCAAAGTTCCAACGTCTGTGGTAAAGGTCCCCTGAACCCCTGATACTTACATAGTTACATAGTATTTGGGGTTGAATAAAGACATACGTCCATCAAGTCCAACCCAGCGCTTTCTAACATTCCCTTGCAAATCCTTCTGCTGCCTCAGCTGGTGAAAATATATAGTGCTCACTGGTATGAAATATCATGTGACCACCTACCATGTGACAGTGCTCAGATCTCAGGTAATTATTAGACCTGAGCACTGTCACATGACTGATGGAGTGATGTCACCACCATGGGTGGGTGGGGGGAGGGGCATACACTGTCACTCTACCCTAAATCTCCAAGATGACAGTGTCTCTTTAATTCTGGTTTCTATGAGACAACGCTGATGATATGACAGAATTCATATTCCTGGGCACCTTGACAAATAAGGAAGGCCATTTTTTTTGCAAAATGAGTGTGAACTTGGGGATAATATGTTATACAATTTACTGCAGTGGAAGGAAATCAGAATCAGGTTATGTTCATTAAATGTTCATTTTAATATTGGAATATGAGTCATTCAGAAATCTGTAACACTATGTGTACTATATAAAGTAAACCCGTCTCCGCTATAAAGTAGATAGCCATTGTGCTAAACCAATATGAAAAATAACCAACTGTCAGTTCAGTAAGACTGTCACATCACCACGATTCTTAACAATCGATATTCAAGGGCAACACTATAACATTTTAGTGAACTGCCCGCCTCAGTTGTGCATATTGGGCTGTTTCCTACAAGCAATGGAAATTTTGTTATCTCAGTTATCTTTTCTAACTCTTTTAAAGAAATGAGACATATAGAATTTCGTCTTATACACTGATAACGTTTTGTTCTGGCTTTTGGTACTTTTAGCTAACAAAATAGCTTAGTGATCAGCACTGACAAGCCATAATGTCAAAAAGTTTCCTGATGAATGTTTTTGAAGCCAGAAAAGAGAATGGATCTTATTCATGTATATTTACCTTTAGGAGTACATTTCTATGTACAAATTAGAGTAGAAGGGAAAAGAAAACGTGGACTTGTGTAAATGGAAATGTAAAATGGAAACAGATTGGGAGTGTAGATGAATATGGGCACAACATTTAACTGACACATAGTGTAACTATGCTGTGTAAAAAAACAACAAAGTGCTGTCCTTTTAATAGTGAAACATAATTTCTTCCAAGGGTTTCAGTATGCAAATTGTACATTTACTTTCAGACTGTAATAATGAACTGTCAGTGCAGTGAAAAAAATAAATTAATCAAATACAACCCAGTACAGTATGTATCGTTATAGCAAAGGAGGTTGAGCATTGTTAACGATAACAAATACTGTACTTATTAAACATAACTCCTCCTGCCCTAGTATTGTAAGGTATGGCAATGAAATCACCAATTTCCTAGTTAGCATTGATTATCTTTTAGGTCTGTGCAGGCTTTCTAAGTATTCTTATTGGCCAACAAGAAATGAATTGTTAAGTAGGAAGAACTATAACTACAGCAATATTGATCACTGTGTAAAATACAACCAATTGATACACATGTTCATTCACACCACCTAAACTTACAAAGAACACATAGAACACACAGCAGACTAGCCAACTAACCAATAGATGGAACCATCATAGGTCGCTGTCTTTGTGGCACTGTACTACCATGTGAGAACCGATGTACAGGGTGATCCGCTCTCTCCATTCTTCCCAAGCCAGGGTGATTACCTAGAAGCTGAACACAGGCATAAACCATAACCAATCCATTGTACAGAACAATAACACTATTTAGAGAACAAACTACAGCTTAAAGCAAAAGCTCTAAAGGCAACTAAATTTTACTTTTAACTGAAAGGTTAGCTGAAAGATACAGATGTGCGGCAACAGTGGGGATACCTCTTATGATTTAAAAAAACAAATCTATTCCAGATCTATAAAAACAATATGTAGTGTTTTAGGGGAGGGGGGTTTTACCAGGCAAACAGAATGCTAACATGGTCAAGATAACTCAAACAGTGCAAGGAAATGAAAAGCACCAACAGCAACCAATCACAATCCATCGCTCTTCAAAAAACTTCAAAAAAGCTAATTCTATTTGGTTACTATGAGTTTCTGGGTTTGCACATAGTGCTTTGCCCTTCTTGCTCTGTCAAGGTTTCCAATTAAGGTATGGCAACGTGTCCAAGAGGGAAAGACTTACAGATCTAGGGAAAAAATTCCTGTCCTTGGATTGATTCAATTAGGCCTTAGTGTGGTCTGTGGATTATGTTATGATACCCACCTGGACAGTGCCAATCAGATGTGGGACTTTAGACTATGGAAGATAAGTGTGCCTCACAGTAAAAGAATGGTAGCCTTACAATTGGGAGTCATTTATCTTCCTATGAAAACAAGAGCCTTACCAGAGTGCTGTGTGCGTGAAATTGACCTGTGTGTTACACAGTCATAATTGTTATTCCTGCTAAGGCATTTCACAGTAAAGTTTTGAGTTGTCAAGCTAATGTCTGCAAGTCATTCCTAGGAGAAAGGGGCACCACTTATTCCTCATCAGGGTTGGCAGCAGGCGTATGCAGGGGCGTATCTGCCGCGAGGCAAACAAGGCGTTTGCCTCGGGTGGCAAATTCCAAGGGAGCGGCAAAAATGCTGGGGTCTCAATGTACCGGTCCTTGGTGACCCGCAGCCAGCTTAGAAGTCAGGTACGCGGTTACGGATATATATAGATATACATTATATATATATATATAAATACAGTGTGTGTGTGGGGGGGACACTGACTGGTTG